AGTCTTTTTTTTTTTTTTTTGCCTTTTTCCATGTCTGGCAACGGATCGCAACCCTCAGTGTTGCCCCCGTACCGGACCGGGGACCGGCAACGGGATTGCAACCCTCGGTGTTGCTCCCGCGCCTCGCTCAGCCAGTGAGCGGGAACCGGTCTGTATGTGGGATCCGAACCCTCGGGCGGGAGCGCCGCCGCGCTTCCCAAGTGGCGCACTATCCAGTGCGCCACCGGGCCGGCCCCTCAAGCTTTATTAAAGAAAGAAATCTGCTGGGCTGTGCTCAGAGTGGCCCAGGGCCCAGGGCTGCCCTGAAAATGTGGGACAGCAGCCAAAATATAAATATTTTTAAAGCAAAAAATAACCTTGCAATCACAATGGCCAAAAACCATGTAAAAAAAATTCATTTTCACCGGTCCAGTAAAGTAGAACAATAAAATTCCATTTTTGCTTTTAAAAATAGCAAAGAAAAATGATAATACACAGTGATACCAAGGAAATGGATACTCAATGCTGGTTAAGGAAAATCTGGCAAATATAAAAAGGCTTCAAATTCTGTTGTTTATTTTTTTTTTGACAGCTGGCTGGTATGGGGATCTGAACCCTTGACCCTGGTGTTATAACACAAGCTCTCTAATGCCTTCAAATTCTGCATCTCTTTGCTGGAGGTGTTTCACTTCTAAGGATCTATCCGGAAAAAAATCCAGAGTGGTTAATAATAATAAAATAAATCACAGCAACTTAAATGCCCAACAATAGGGCATTGGTAAATATGAGACAACCATATTGTGAAATATGGAGCAACCATTAGCAATGTTATAGAAAATGTAATGATGTGGAAAGCTATTCCAAGTATATATTAAGTAAGACAAAATTATGAAAGGATATACTCCAAATTTTAAGGATTTGGGGTTTTTTTAAAATCTCTGGTGGTGAGACTACACAATATTTTTAGTTTCTTAATTTTTTTCTTTTTCTAAATTTTTATTTATATATAAATATATAATAAATTTAATATATATATTATAGATAATATTTTATAAATATATATATAATAGATAATATTTTACAAATATATATATAATATAATATTTATATAATTTTTGTATATAAATTTTGTATGTATTTATATATATATTTATAACTTCAGTAAAAAAAAAGTTTGGTGGAAAAGTATAAAAAGAGGAACAGAAGAGATGGAGACCAAAGTTTAGCTTACTTATTGGTATTGCTACAGTGAAGAATTTGGTTGGATCCATGGCCAACTGGATTTTCTACGATCAAGTCTAGTTTTGGGGACAATCCACTAGAGGGCGACTTTAGGTCTGAAGAGCAGACACACAGAATTGCCACTTCAAACCCATCAAACTCCAAAAGTAAGTGTAAAGAGAAGGGCCTCAAACTTTCCTTTAGAGGCCAAGCCTGGCCCTGGCCCACTGTGCCCACCCCGGGAACTGCAGGCAGAGCAGAAGGGACCACACTGCGGGTAAACAAGCAGAGCGGGGAGGGGGAGCGGGAGGATGGAAATCACCTGCACAGATTCTTCCTAGTGAGATAAGGTGGTAAAAGAGGAGGGTGGCAACAGGCTAGAAGTGCCACTCCCGTCCTTTATTCTCCTGAGGACTGGAATAGAACTTTCCTCCTCTCCATGGAAATTTAAGAAGTGGGGGATATTTGTTTCCCCTAACAGGTATTTAAGGTCTTATTTAATTCTAAGATTCCATGACTTCTTTTGCTAAACTGAGATTTAATCTTTAGGACTTCTATAAGTCTACGTTCTCCAGTCCAGCTCTTCATCAAAGGTCTTCCAAAGATACTAAGGGATTTTATTAAGCAACTTATACAAATCATCACAAATCATTTAATAGTTTAAGCTTTCCTACCCAACCAGATTAAGAACTATGGGCAAATATATGAATAGTAACAATACTTAGACTTTTGGGGCCCTTTCAGGTCCCCCTCATTATGCAAAAATGATTATGAAATTAGTTAATTCTCAGTTTTCCATAAAAATAAAAGGGCCAAATAATTGAAATTTATCGTTAATACCCAGCTTCACCTTTACTGTGATGTCATCTTCTTGGGTTCTGTAACAACTGCTCATTAAGTTCTCCTGTTATTCTCCTGTCTAGGTGATCTTCCTCACGTTCTTATTCTCACTGACGATGAACAGGATGCCGTGGCTTAACACAGAGAAGGAACAACAAACAAAGAGAATCTTGGCACTTTGCAGTAATTTAAGCAGTTCTATCTACTGTCTAATTTTGCAAAGAGCAAACTCTATTAGAACATTGGAATTCTAGCCACCTCCTGACTCAGTGTATTTATGCATGCAGAGATCTTATCTCCAGTCAGCTGGTTGCTGCTCCTCCTCTGCACATGGCTAATCAATGTGTCACCAGAACTCAATGCCCTCTCCCTTGATTATCACATTTTCTCTCTCGGTGCTTCAACTCTCCCCTATATTCTGGATCTCCTTCTCCTTCCTGAGCCCCAGACGCTTTTTAAAATTGCTCACCATCTGTATGTATCTGAATGCCTGCAAGTGCCCCAAACTAAACCTAATTATTTACCTGCACCACAAATCCACTTCTTTACTGTATTTTCTCATTTCAGTTAAGAGCATGACCATTCTCTAAAAATGTTAGAGTAATCCTAAATTCCTCTTATTTCCCACATTTAGTCACCAAGGCTAAGGGGATGTACCATCTAAACAACTGACTACAGCTACTCATATCACCTGGATGACCCTCACAAACACTATGTTGGGCAAAAGAGTAAGTTGCAGAAAGATTAGCACAATATTTTAATCATGTAAAACAATGTGTATCTTGACTAGAGGATACATATATGTATCTCCTCTATAAATTTGTATATAATGTAAAAAAAAATGCATGGGAATGATAAATCCCAAAATTCAGGAAAGGATTACTTCTCTGAGGGAAAGAAGCGTTGTCATTCTAGAGGGGTATACGACAGACTTTATGTTGGCAATCACTTATTTCTTAAGCTGAGCGGTGGACACTCTACTAAGCAGTAGGCACTCAATTCCTTGTGAGATTTTAAAAAATCATTAATCTGATTTTAAACAGCTTTTCTTGCACTTATTTCAGTTCTCCATAGATTTTGAATTGTTCTCTCTGTCCCTGTCCATCTGGAGAACTCTACTCATCCTTCACAACAAATGTCAAATGTCAATTTCTCTGTGAAGCCCTCTCTGACTTTCCTGGGGAGATTAATTTGCTCACACTTGGGCCAGCCTGTGGCTCACTCGGGAGAGTGCAGTGCTGATAACACCAAGGCCACGGGTTCGGATCCCACATAGGGATGGCCGGTTCGCTCACTGGGTGAGCATGGTGCTGACAACACCAAGTCAAGGGTTAAGATCCCCTTACCGGTCATCTTTAAAAAAAAAAAAAAAATTTGCTCACTCTTCAGTGATCCCATGGTACTTGGCACGTATGAGATACTGGCAAGTTTTAAGTCATATTCTAATTCCCTCTTTCTCTTTCCCTCTCGATTTACATGTCTCTAAATTCTTCTACCACAGTGTTGACTGCAGGCCAGCAGCATTGTCATCTCCTGGAATTGTCAGAAATTCAGAATCCTATCCCTCACCCCAGAATCTGTATTTTAACAAAATTCCTAGGTGATTCACATGCAAAATAAATTTAAGAAACAGTGCTCTAAAACAGTGCTCCCAAAGTGTGGTCCACTGATTAGAACTGTTTCTAATCCAAGCTAAGTACAGAAATTGAGAGTATGCATTTAGAAACTTTTATAGCAACTTGGCAGACCTATTTTAAGCCTACTGAACCATATTTTCAAAATAGGATTTGTATTTTATATGCTTCTGTTTTATTTCATTTTTTTAGTAACTCATTTTTATTATATTTTACAAAAGTATTGTCGTCCAATGGATTAGAATATTTTAAAAACAAGTCCTTCACAATAGATAGTTTGAGAAGCACTGCTTAAATAACTTTATTCTTTGTTTCTTCAACATTTAACAGGAGGTGCTCATAGGAGATGCTCAACAAACATTGGTAAATGATTGTTTAATAAAATATAACTTTTATTTGACCTACATTTGAATTTTTGACAGCGAAATGTTCTTCATCATTACCTGGTTCAAGAGGAACAACCCCATCTACATAGCCCCAGCTCTGAACAGTCCAGTTAAGTGCCCAGAAAGAACCTTGAAAGAGAAGAAGCTCTTCAAGCTGACTGGAAGTATTTTTGGTTTGAAGAGAAAATAGCAACATGTCCATACAGCAACACGTTTTCCAAGAAGGAAAGGGAAGGTGGGAATAAAATGGACAATATAGAAATGTGAAAATTTATCTTTAAAATCCTTACCTTGTAACATTTGGATTCTCAAACAAGGTGGTATAGTAAATGGAAAGACTACACCTAAAAAATGTAACAATATATGATCTGCATACTTTACATCTTGGAGGAAAAATGAAAATGTTTTGAAAACTGGCTATTCTAAAAGTGCTAGGTGACTAGCTTCAACACATCTAGAGCATTATTGGATTCCTTGGACAAAAGACCAAAGAAGACAAGTTCTGTTTTTATCTTGCCTTCCCTTCTTATGCACAGAGATAATCAAGAGAGAGTAAAAGAAAGAGAACTAGTTCTAAGAACTAAAACTAAATACTTTTGTGTGGGATTTTATGTATCTTAAGCAAAGTTTCTGACCGGTGGTAGAATAATTCTGGGAAGGAAGTACACACGTGCCTACCCACACACATACATACATATCTATTTACAGTTACTAGGTTGAGCCATATGAAATTGCCAATTTTTGCCTGTTTTTGACCTGCAAAATTCTATAGACTTGAGAAAAATGAAGAAAAGGGTTTAGAGAATTTCTAAGCTAACCACCCAGCTATGATTATTTTCTCTTTTAAACCAGAACAACTCTTCCTTATCATGTTCATGACTGTAATCTATTCTGCAAAGAACTCCAATAGATTTCACCTCCATCAAACTATCCAGAAAAGCTTTTCTCACCATTTTTTAGTGTTGGGAAAACAGAATAGTTTGGTCAAGGCCCTTGCCTTGGGTCCAGTTGGGTGTGGTTTATCATCCTTTGTAAGCAAATTGTTTGTGTGTGTGTGTGTGTGTGTGTAGTTAGTGCACATGCCCACCAATGTATCTTTTTAGTTTTTGTTGCTATTCTTGTGTTCTTCTAGAGAAAGAGAGAGAGAGGAACAGAGAAGAGAGAGAGAGAGTAGAGAGGAGTTTGGTGAAGCAGGCGGGCAGGCGTCAGCCTCGGGCATCCGCCCCACGCAGCCATGCTTTTCCAAACCTACAGCTTCCAAGGAACTTTTGGCCAGTTAGCTAGCTCATAGACCTAAGTGTAAGGGGTCTGATGACCCAGACTGGTGTATGAAGGGTTTGTGACCCAGTCTGTGGATGGGCTTGAAGGGTCTTTGAGCTCCAGACCTAGCCCTAGCTCAACAATTGGCCCAGTTGGTGCAGGATTACCAGCAGGTAAAAGAGCCTGACAACAGTTATGGTCACCTAGCTTTATAATTGGCATCATGGGCAGTATTAAGAGTGCTACAATTGGCAATGTCAACAGGATTCCAGGCTTTAGCCTAGCCAGACAAATTGGTGTAGTCGGCAGGATTCTGAGCAGGTACAGGAGCCGAAAGCCCTTGGAAGAAGGAGGAAATGTGGCTATCCTTGAGCATGTGGTGTCTGGTGGCCACTTTTCTGCTGCCCAAAGCCTGGCTGCTGCTCACTACACTGCAAACTGATCGAGATTTGTGGCAGAAAGCAGAGTCATTGGAAGCACAGATAAATGTCCTGGAGGATGACATGCAGTGACTGGCCACTTCTGCCTCTCACACCAGGGAAGACAACCAAACCAGGGGTGAGTTGGGGAGACCATGCATCTCCAGGCACAACCTGTTGTATATGAGAAACTGAGACAGTAAAGCAGCAGAAACAGGTAGAGCCCCTTGTGGCTGCAGCTATGCAACCTAGGGGTGGATGGTGTAACGTGCTCTAGAGACTATGTAGTAAATGCATGTTGCATTTGTCTGAAGGCAAATGGCTTGGAGGTTGCCACTTAAACCCAATGGCCAGCTGGGTGCTGTAAAACCCGAGAAAAGAGTGCCACATGCAGATGTGCAGATGACCAGAGGATGGGTGCCCCTGCAGAATTTCAAGTATGTTTCCACCTGCTGAAAAGGTGGAAAAGTTAGTCTCCATTACTACCTGCCTGTCTCTGAGGCAGCAGCTACAGAAAGAGCTGTGGATATGCACAGGAGCAGGGCAGCCACTCCTTGATGGACTGGTTGAATGCAGCTGTTTGAATTGTGGGCGAACACTGCAAAAACTGCCTGAGACTGAGTGAGTAGCTGGTGTAAGCTGAGCTGACTGAACTAATTCAAAAGCCAAAATGTAAAAGCAGAGTGTAAAGATTTGGAAAATTTGCAGCCTGACCATGAAGTAGAAGAGCAGAGAACAGGAGAAAAACACAAGGGTCAAGCAGATAAACTGTCTGCTAAAGACATTATCTTGCTGGTGAGGCAGTCAGATGCTAAGAACCAGGACAATGGGGAAAATGCCCTGAAGGCATTTGAGAAGTCTGGATGGGTGCCCCACCCATCACAGGCCCTGAGGGTGTTTGAGAAGTTTGGAAGAGTGCCCCTCCCATCCTAGGAGAACTCAGTTGTCCTGGAGGACAGACCTAAGGTGTCATTGCCCTCGGCAAACTGCTCCCTGCATCCCAGCCACTCTGGCTGGAGCAATCCTGCCTCAGCACCTCCGAAGAAAAATGCCAAAAACCTTGGTGACATTCACATTGTGCTAAGTTTGCAGGCCAGCAGTACGTGAGAACAGTGGAGGTGTGGCAGCCTCCACCTAGATTTTGGAAGATGTATGGAAGAGTTGGGGAACTCAGGCAGAGACCTGCTGCAGGGGTGGAGTCACTGCAGAGGTCATCTGTGGAGCAATGTGGAGCAGAAAAGTGGGGTTGGGGCCCCCACAGAGAACCCCGACTGAAGAAATGTCTAGTGGATCCATGATGGTGGGACTGCCACCAGGAGCCCAGAACCATGGGGCTGCTGGCAATGTGTAGTGCCAGCTTGGAAAAGCCACAGGCACCATGCAGCTCAATGATCTGCACTTGGTGGAGCTGTAGGACCGAGGTTGCCCAACACTTTAGGGGTCCAGGTGCCCCAGTGTGCTTAACATTTGCCCTATTGGGTTTTGGATTTGTTTGGGGACTGTTTTTCCTTTCTATTTCTCCCTTCCGGAATGGAAATGTGAACCCAATGTCTGTCCCACTGTATTTTGGAAGTATATAAACTTGTTTTTGACTCTTTACAGGTTCACAGCTGGAAGGACTTTTGCTTTTGGCCTCAGATGAGACTTTGGACTTTGGATTTTTGAGTTGGTGCTACAACAAGCTTAAGACTTTTGGGACTGAGATGGAATATATAATGTGTGGATGTAATGGTAATTTATCCTTGTTAGGGGAATGTCGCAGAAGATTCTGAACATGTAGATTGTAGGGCAAGGACCCTAAAGGGGTGGATTGTTGGGAAAATAGAATAGTTTGGTCAGGGCCCTCACCTCAGGGCCAGTTGGGGGTGGAGTTAGTGCACCTGCTTGGTGCTGCCACTTTGGCTGGTGTTTACTGCCTGGGGCAGCTGCCATCAACACAGCCATGCTTTTCCAAACCTATGGCTTCCAAGGACCTTTTGGCCGGTTACCTAGCTCATAGACCTGCATGAAGGGGTCTGGTGACCCAGCCTGGCATGTGAGGGGTCTGGGAACCCAGCCTGGCATGTGAAGGGTTTGTGACCCAGTCTGTGAATGGGCTTGAGGGGCCTGTGGGCTCCAGACCCAGCCCTAGCTTGACAATCAGCCCATTCGGTGCAGGATTACCAGCACATAAAAGAGCACCACAACTGGCATAGTAGTGGTCGAGTAGCTTTACACTCAGAAATCAAACTTCTTAAGGATTTCTACCACTGGGCCAATAGCAACCTCCTTCCTAACCGGTATGGGGATTACAGAGGTAGCAGTCCTGGGGCCCAGCCATGTAAATGTGGGGTGCAATTAGTTTTCCAAACATCCCTCCTGAGACCCATGAGAAACCAGAGAAAGATCAGCTGGCTTTTTCAATATGGCCACATTTCCCTGGGCACTCCAAGTGTCCCTAGACCTTATCTACGCAGGTTCAGTTTTTGTCTGTTCACCCAGGGGTGATCAGGCCCACGGTGGATGTTTCCCACTGGTGAGTCTCACAAGAGGCTGAGAAACAAGAAACTTATCATTACCTGAATATTGTTTGGTTATTGCCTGTCCCTCTTGCTCCTTAAATGTGAGCTCTCTGTGGGCAAGGACTCTCTTACATGGAACTTGGAACATGTGAGCACTCAATATACATTGATTGAAAGAAAGAATGAATGAATATTAGTTCATATTCTTTACCCATTTTTCATTGGGCTGCTTGGTTTTGATTGCCTGTTTTGATTTGTAGGAACTTTTTATATATTAAGAGCTTGTATAGTTAAAGATATAGATTTAGATATTTATATAGATATAAGCTAAGAACTTACAAAGATTAATTTAGAGAATTGGTATTTTTATGGTGTTCTCTTCCTATGTAGGAGCATGGTATGCTTTTCTATTTGTTTTTATCTTTATTTGTATCTCTCAGTAATATTCTAAATTGTTCTTCATATACTTTTAGCACATCTCTTGTTTATCTTTTGAGTTGCTATTACAAATGAGGTATTTTATTTCTTTATACCTTCTAAGTAAATATTGTGTGGCTATATTAAGGCTTTTGATTTCTTTATGTTTATTTAGCACCCAGCCACCTTGCTGAATTTTCTTTTTGTAAGTAATAGCTTTTCAGTTGATTCTCTTATCTAGACATATATATATGTGTGTGTGTATATATATATACACACATATATATAGACATATATATACATTTTACAAATTGTGATAATTTTATTTTCTTATTTTTTATTTTTATACTTTTTCTTATCTAATTGCATTAGCTAGTATCTTCAAAAATAGTGGTGAAAGTGTGCATCTTTGTCTCATTACCAACTTAATGAGGCAATTTTTTAAATTGTTTTTTACTTTCTCATTAAGATTTATTACTAATGGGAAGAAACTCCTTTCTTTTGGGCAATGTTCTTCTTCATCAGATTCACATTTGTGATGTGGTACTCTTCCCAGCTAGAGTATCTCCTCAAGAACAAGTGAAGCCACCTCACCAACATCAGGAAGATACAGAGAACTATGGGGTTAACTAGGGCCCCCCTGATACAAACATCACAAAGTCAGACAGCATTTGGCATTACCAGAATCAGGAGATGCTGGGTGGCTACCCCTTCCAAGGGGAATTTGCCACTTACTCAGGAGCAAGGTATGTTGTGAGACTTGGAAGAAACTCCAGTACTGCAACCAGGTGAGCAAGTCTGAGCCCTGGACAAAAGGACCAGGGTGTCTTCTGGCCATTTGTGGGACAATTAGGAATTCAGGATCCATTTGAATAGTTTCAACAGTTGCTATAATGTTACTATTCTGTCTGTGACACTTGTAGATACTTTTATTTTACACTTCTCAGGAAATATACCTTTTAGTTTAAAAATTCCTTGTTCAACTTCAAACTACAGATATGTTTTGGTTTGGAAATTTGCCAAAACCCATTCCTTTTCTTAACTGGAAAAACACATATCTAATCAATCCTAGCTGCAGTTGAACTCAGGTAACTCTAGCTTAGACAAACTGTAATCTTCAAATATTGAATACTGCCCTTTATGAACTATTTGTACATCAACCCAAAATTCAAATGCCAAAATTTAATTTCCAGAGACTTATAGAGTGGGTTAGTATATGAATCCTGAGAGTCTGTCATTACATATGAAAAAGTCTAAATTAAAATGATCATCTCTTCATTTAAATTTTCAGCAAAGGGCCCATGGCTCACTTGGGAGAGTGTGGTGCTGATAACACCAAGGCCACGGGTTCAGATCCCTATATGTAGGGATGGCCAGTTAGCTCACTTGGGAGAGTGTGGTGCTGATAACACCAAGGCCACGGGTTCAGATCCCTATATGTAGGGATGGCCAGTTAGCTCACTTGGGAGAGCGTGGTGCTGACAACACCAAGTCAAGGGTTAAGATACCCTTACCAGTCATCTTTTTAAATAAATTAATTAATTAAATAAAATTTCAGCATGGAATTAATTACTCAAAAACAATAATGCCAACAAAATGACATTTACACTCCTTCCAGATCTCAAAACTGAATAGCTGTTAGTAAAAAGTGACATGGAATACTTCAAAAAGAAGTAGTTGACATAGCATGTGAAATTAATTCTACCTCAGACCTTAAATGCCAAATATATTTTCCTGAATGTTTAACCTTGGTCTGAATGCTATTGTGAAAATTTCCATTCCTATAGTCTACTAAATTTATATTCATGTTAACATCAGTGAAAGTTTGGGCATTAGTAATCATAAAATATTTTATAGGAAAATTAATTTGGGAAATGTAGCTTCTTACCTGGTATGTGATAGTGATAATGGGAATCCCAGGGCATCCTCCTCCTTTGTAATGTTGAATGGAGAAAGTAGTTGGCCCTGTCTTCTGTTTCCCCAGAGTTCTACAGCATCTTGAACACAGGCACTGACTAGACCAATGCACAAAAGCCCTCTTTGTGGAATTTGTGGTCTTCAGTGCTAATGGGAATCTGTTCTGTGTTGTGACCCTGATTTTGGAGTCCAGCGATGTGGGTATGAAGGCCTCTTCTTTCCTGCCTCTGTGACCTGGGTATCTCAGGAGAATGCCCAATTCTTTCTCTAACTGATACTACTCATTAAAAGATATTATTTTAATTAAAGTTATTACACATAAATATAATTTTACCAAAACTGTGCTTTAACCAACGGAGCCAACCAGCCAATCTCCTTAAATATAATTTAAAAAATCAAATAGTTTGGGCCGGCCCGGTGGCGCACTGCTACAGTGCGCCGCTTGGGAGTGCAGCAGCGCTCCCGCCGAGGGTTCGGATCCCACATACAGACCGGCGCTCACTGGCTGAGCGAGGTGTGGGTGCAACACCGAGGGTTGCAATCCGTTGCCGGTCACGAAAAAAGACAAAAAGGAAAAAAAAAAAAAATCAAATAGTTCAAGGAAAAAACTAGCAGTCCTCTGTTTATCCCTACCTCACTTTTACTCCTTGGAGACATCTACTTTCAGTTTTTTTAACTGGTTCTTATAGAATTAAAAATTTTTTAACACGCTTATTTGCTAGTTCATGAATTTTCCATTGTAGACATTATTTATTTCTTGCTGTGAGGATGGCTTTCTTATAACCACACATATGCCTAACATATATATACACACACACACACGCACACCTTTTTTCTTTCCTCATTCTTCCAATATAATAATTTGTATTTAGTTTAATATTATTTCCATTATTATGATTATATATTTTTCAAATATGGGACATGTAGTATATTACAATTAAATTTCCTGTTTTCCCTGGAATTTATCATTACTTTTTAAAAAAATTTGCTTGATTTTGCATGTATTTATCATTGGTTCATCTCCAAACTCTTTCTAGAAATAAAAAATATCTCATTCTGCTCGAAAATATCAGGTAACCTATCATTTTCTTTTTCGTAGAGACATCCCCCAACTCCCGGAGGCCCTCCCTCCTCTTGGCACAATCTGAATTGGTTATTCTCTAGGCCTGCTCTATAGCTTTCCCTTCAGGGGTTCTCTTCACCATCACCCTGTGGATTATCTTTACCTCTCTCTAATATTGGATCCCCTTTCTCCTGGATCCCATGTCTTCCTCACTTGGTTTACTTCCGCACTTGGAGTTACTTCTTCCAGTAACTTCCTGGAAGGGGGCAAAGGAGGTAAATTTGTTGAAGCCTTACATGTCCAAAGTGTTTTTATTCTGCCATCACATTAGATGGCTAATTTGTCTGGATACAATATGTTTCTTGCAGTATGTTGAAAAGCATAACTTCATTGCCTTGTAGCTTCTCATGTTGCTGTTGAGAAGTATAATAATGTCATTCTGATTCCCAAAAGTTTCTAGATTTCCCTCTTTGTCCCCAGGGTTATGAAAGGACCTCATAGTAAACTCTTTTATCTGGAAACTTGTGTCCTCAAGTTCTGAGAAATTTTCTTGCATTATTCTCTGTTAATTTCTTTTCCATTTTCTCTGTTTGCTTTATCTGATATATTCCTAGCATTTGGAACTCCTGGACTGATGCTCTGATTTTCTTATGTTTTTGCTTCTGTTTTGCATCTTTTTCTTCTAATATCTGAGAGATTATTTCAACTTTATCTTCCAAACCATTTGTCAAAATTTTTTCTATAATATTTTAACTTCCAAAAATTGTCTTTCACATAATATCTTTTTTAAATAGCCTGCTGTTGTCCTTTTATGGATACAATATCCTTTCTTAACTTTCTGAGGATATTATAGTGTTTTTCTTTTCTTCTCCTCCTTCACGGTCTCTAATTCCTCTGAGCTTCTTTTATTTCTTGATTTGTTGTTGTATTTTGATCTCCAGTTTTCAAAGTTAGAAGTTCAGTGTGTGGCTGTCCTTTTGTATTTAAAGGGAGGCAATAAAAAGCAAATAAATGCTAATTAGAAGCTCTGTGTGCATGGATAGAGCTTGTCAACTGGTATTTGTCTTTTCTCTTGGGCAGTCAGTTTTCACAGAGGGACCCTTCAAACTCCCGCCTTGAGGCTATGAGCCTACAGTATTATACTTCTCAGAGCCTGTGGAGAGAAGGGGACTGGGGGACTGGGAAGGGTCTCACCATGCAGCATGCAAACTTTCCCTAAATTCCTTTTTTCAGTAAATTATTACTTTCAGATGTATCTGAGTACAAATTCTCTCCAGTTCAAAGATCACCAGGAAATAAACCTTTAGTCTTGGGGTGTTAAAGGCAGGATGGGCAGCAAATACCCGGTTGTGAATGGTGAGGGCGGAAATCTGGGATCTAATTGCTGATGTTCAGACTATCAATGCTATTTTCAGTTCCACCTGAACTTCTACCCTCAGCGATAACCGATGCCTCCAATTTCTGGGCCTTTCCAAGGTTTTGTGGTTAGAATTGGCTTGCTTCTGGGTTTCCTGCACTGCTGTCTTAGGTTTCAGCTTTCTTGAATCTGCTGTCAGTATCATTCCTCTACGTTTCAGCTTCCCAGTTTGTTGATCTCATCTGCCTTCCTCTTCATCTTCGGGTCATTTTTTCATTATCATTGTAGTGGTGTTTTGTAAGGGATTGGAGGGAAACTGGTATTCAATTCCCCCACCTTTAACAAGAAGTCTGTCCTAATCCGACTTCCTTTCTCCTCTTTTTTCCTGTGGAATTTTCCCACAAGTGTCCTTCCATTTGCTATTAAGTGCTACTTTTTTTTTTTTTTTTTAAAGATGACCGGTAAGGGGATCTTAACCCTTGACTTGGTGGTGTCAGCACCACGCTCACCCAGTGAGCGAACCAGCCATCCCTATATGGGATCCGAACCCGTGGCCTTGGTGTTATCAGCACCGCACTCTCCCAAGTGAGCCACAGGCCGGCCCCTTAAGTGCTACTTTTAATTAAGATTTTTTTTCCTCCCAGACCCACACAGAGTAGACGACTTCTATACCTACTTCTAAATGAAGCACAAAGGCCTTCTGAGGGTTTTCATAGGGTTTTTATTGTTAGTAACTATCTAAAAATAGAGGTCAAAATAAAGATCAGAAAAGTCCCCAATCCTGAGAGCTAGCTATGAGAAGTAAGAATTCCTTTTGTTCCAAAATGTACTTTCTACCTACAAGGGGTATATCTTAATTCTCATATTTTGGGGCTTTGTGAAAAGTTTATATTTACAAGATTTTTCATGATTTTATAAACTTCAACATTCTCACTGGCCTTCCAGGTGGAGTCTGAAGCTTTTTAGTCCATCCTCATATAAACATCTGCATATCCATGGGATACTATAGATACCCATGGGATATTAGTGCTTTAGACTTTTATCTCTGCAGCCATTCTAACTTGGTAAGGGTAACATCTGTAACAGCTGTTAAGCCATTGACACCTCTCTAGGTGCAATCGGCAGTATATCCTTTCCTTCTACTGACTTTAGTGAAATTGGCATTTCTCCAATTGCTTTGCATACATGATTTCATTTAATGTTCACGACAGCTCTAACAGAAATACTAAGTAGAGTGTAGAGACTCAGAAACATTTGAAATTGATGATACACAAAGAATTGGGGTTATTCAAAGAC